GAGAAGTCTATGTTCAAACAGGGATGCAGTGCATGAAGTACAGTGGAAGGAAGAGATTAGGACATTAGACTAACTATGTAGCGAAGCACGGTGCACAGATCCCCAAGTCTTCACTGACAGAAGGCGGCAGTTTGCCAAGAACAATACACGTTTATCTTTCCTCTGGTTAAATCCTTGTCAGCAACAGCTTGGAGCTCTCTGCAACACTGCAGACCTGCCTGCAGAACACCACCCTTTGCTGCTTCTTGGCAAGCCATCATTTCCCACCATCAGCCCAACCACAGGTACCTCCATGGCCTCCTGCCCAAATCAAGCCACCCCCTGACTAATGAATTGAGTACTTTTACATAGCTGTTCCTGCCTGCCGTGGTGTCCTCATATATACACTACAGAAAGATTTACCTGGCACTCCAACATGGTTTTCCACACAGCGGATGTAATTCTGGGCCTTGGGTGGGAGGTCCTCCCATTTTCGTGCACCAGTTGTGTCAGTTTTCCACCCAGGCATTGTTTCATACTCTACTTCCACCTTCTGTAGTATCTCCTGATTAGCTGTGGGAGAACAATTTTTGTCACCATTGATTGTAGCTGTTCCACCGTAAACGAACACAGCTATGGTTCTTGACCAACAAAGTCTTTTGACAACATTTAAAATCTGACATATGAAAAAACAGAATTCCTACTGGTTGGTTCATTCATTCATTCTTAATTTAGATTAATTTCTGTCACTTAGGAAGATAACTCTGATTCAAGAGGATCCAGGAATCCAGTTTCCTCTTCTAAAAACTGTAGGATGCACTCTATGTTGTCAGAAGACTACAGTACTAATTTTGAGGAAACAAATTATTGGAAGTTTACAGTAGTTCCACTTTTTGATTCAGATTTGCAGATAACAAAATAGAAGTCGTCCTGTAGACAAGGCACTTCCGTCTCAAACTTTCTTATCTTTATGGAACAGGGTTAAATCAGGCTTGCTAAAAAAACCCTAGATGTCTGCAAGCTTTTTGCCACTGGAATTCTCACTGTGTCCACAGCCAGGAACTGCCATTAGTGGTAGGAAAGCTGGCTGCTGCCAGCCCTCCCTGTGCCTCCAGAATCCTCCATCTCAACAGAACCAACCCGTCATATTGGCACAGACCGTTACAGGTATCTTGAAAACATCATTAATGTAGCATGAATCATATTGAGAGGCAAGATATATTTTTATTAACCGCAGTGGTGTTGCTGTTAACTAGAGTTATACGATGGTATACAATGAGCAGCTTTATTCTGTTTGTATCCATCTCATTTTTGCACAGCTTAAGCACTGCTTTTATTTTTGCTTTACTTCATTAAAGGCTGTTGCCAGTTATATACAATCACTGACTTGAGTCCTGATGACTTTCAGATCCCTGGTGTTGCCAATAAAAAACTCTAATGGTACAAGACATAGAGGTCCTAACACAAGATTTAATTTCCTCTGAACTTCTTGTCATCATACACACAGATGCAAGGTGAATGGAAAATGCTAATGTACTGATACAGCAGTCTTCATATTGATACTATAGTTCCGCAAATTTCTACAGAAAGTCTAGCAAAAAAGAAATCGAGCCCAACTTTAAAAAGCAAAAAGTCTTTCCCAACAGGAGTGACTTAACAGGCAAGAAAGAGAAAAATGAACATAGAACATGAACAACATACCTGGAAAATACGGAATTCTTTTTCCACCCAATTTGTAAGCAACACCAATTTTAATTTCATCAAGGACATCAAGAATATCCAGTTTTGTTAATGCCAAACTGTACAGAAAAACATTGGTTAGAGTTACACACATGATGAATCTCCTCTTTAGTACTTTCCATCTGTCTTCCCCTCCCCCCCCCCCCCCCCCCCGCCCCCTTCTAGTTTTGTATTCACAAATCCAGCTCAGGCAACCCAGCAAGCAGAAATACAGAAATACATTAAACTATTAACATTGTTAATTGAATTCACGCCTCTGGGATGAATACATGACTGAGTTACTAAGACACATTTCGAAATGCTTGGCTGTACATACAGGTGCACAGTGTTCAGCTTAGTGCATGAAAATGCAAGCTATGTAAAGTAGCACTTAATGGACTTGGTTTGGGTGACTATGTCGGCATGTCATTCACATCACTACTAGTGATTATTTCTGTTACTCCTACTGATTCACAACAACTATAAGATGGACTTACTTACTAAGATACACTTTTAAAACAGACTTCACAAGCATAATCTGCCTACTAAGATCACGTATACAGTTTCGTAGGAAGGATCCCAGCTGGACTTCCAGTGCCTGGGCTGTGCTATCAGGGTTGTCAGTTTAATGAACCTTTTTCATCTTGTGAATGAATGCACTGGAACACAAAAATGGAACCTCAAGAAGACACTATAGTATTCACTAATCAGAATAAAACTGCGTTTCTCTAGAAACAACATGCCAGACCTTGCTTGGTAAAAATATGAGGAGCTAAGGATTTAGACAGGTATGCGCATAATAGTCCATGCTAGATGTGCTCAGGAAGTGTATGATGAATGCAATGATTAAATGAAAAGACCTTTTGGGAAATAAGCAGCATAGAGCCAGTTCTTCAACTTTTTTTTTAAGTTTTTATCTCCCTGTGTTTTTTAACTGTCACAGTTACCAGAGATGACATAGTTTTGTTGACAGAAGTGCAGTTAATTGTACAGAACTGAAATGGAAGGAAAGATAATGCCTTCCTAATACTACTTCCACATAAACTAGATCTGTGTAAGTTAAAGCAAAATATAAATCCAAGTAAAAAAAAAAAGTTTAAAAACTCTTCTGATAAATTAATGAACAAAGATCACTGTTCCTTTGTCACATTAGTAGCATAAACAATATTCAGTTAAGTCTCAGTTTATAGGACATTAAAATGCCCAGCGTCATGTGTTTGCCTATATGAACAAGTTTGCCTGAATGCAGGAGTAAGTCTACACTTTATATGAACAAAACTGTAATGAAACAAGTGGCAATTAGTTATAAACTAATGGCTTGTGATAGTTACTAGCATTTTAGCATTAGACAAAAGCTAGCTTGATGGCATTATAGTCTTGAATAGTTCCTTTAAACAGCCACTTTTCCTTTAAAATATAAATTTAATATATATTTTGAATTACAAAACAATTTCTCAACCAAGTAAGTCGCTCAGTCCCAAAGAAAATAAATCTCAGCCCATTAAAAACAGAATTTATCATACATTATTAGAATTCATTAGACTACATCTTTGTAAATAAATGAACTTGTCAGGACCGGAATGAAAGCTGTGCCAGTTGCTGAACACTTTGTGTCATCCCACCTATTTCACTTAAAGAGGTAGTGGTTCCAAGTGATGCAGAATTGGTTCTACAAGTATGATCCACTAGAGTCAACCAAAGCTCAAAACCAGTGGGTTTCAGATCATGACGTAAGTCAATATGAAAGCACTGGATCAAGAATACTGGAGCAACTGTTAGAAAACTGATATACTGATCCAATCTACACTGGCCATCTGATGTAAGCAAAGTGAAAATATACATGAAAAAAATCACTGCTATGATGTTGTAAAATCACTTGATTTGAAAAAAAAAGTCAAAGGAACTAGAATATTATTAGCACTAAGACAATTCTCAGTTACCCATTGTGAATTATTTTATTGCTTAAAATGTAACACTTTACTGGACTTACATTAATGTTACCTACATATTTAATCAGCGAAGTGCAAAATTATCACTTCCAAATGTAGCGCAAAATCTGTGATGCTTACGCAGTGAATCCGTTGATCATATGAGCATATTTCAAAATGACAAGATCTAACCAGCCACAGCGTCTCTTTCTGCCTGTAGTTACTCCCCATTCATGGCCACGGGACTGTAAAAGATCTCCAATTTCCTAAAAGAAGACAGAAAGAATGCTGACTGTATTTCACTGAAAAATAGCAGGAAAACAAATATAAACAAATATAGATGAAGAGCAAGAAAAATATAGTTGTTCAAGTCTTTTTTGTAAGCAAAAAAGAAAAAAGTAAGTTTTATTAGGAGGGGCTAAGGTGGAGAATAATACTTCATGCACAGGATTTTTGTATTTCAATCACTAGCATTTCCAAAATACTTATCTCTTATGACTATTTCATGTTCCAAGGAAACACTTTTCTTCTTTGTTCATCTGATGGGAAGATTTCCATGACAATTCAGCCCTGTTTTTAATTTTGTCTGTGTTTACTTTTTCATCTGGTCTTTTGGAATCTATTGTTTTTGAGGGCAAGACTGTAAATGCCTGGGACAAGATCAATGCTCGTACAATGTCTAGGTTAATAGACTCCCTCACCATGCTTAGGGGGCTCCTAGGTTCCACCACAGTACAAGACTGCCAGCTGTTCCCTTTGGGTTGGCAGCATTCATAATGAGTTAAAAATGAAGAAGAAAGAAATTATATGCTTATGATTCATAAAACAAAAGGATATCACCAATTCCTTTGAGACATTAGAGAACGGATTTTAGTGACTAAATCCTTAAATTAGATTCGGATCACTGACCTAGAGATTGCTGTGTGCATAACAACTCATAATCAATACCCTGAGCTTTCTAGTTTCTTGATAATGAAACTAAGAAGACAGTTTAAAGAAGCAAAATCTCTCCCCTTCTTTTTATTGATCAGTTTGCGTATGACTGGCTGATGCACACACCACACTTATTCTATAAATCACACAGAACACAGTCTGTTAAGCACAGATGTTGTATCCTGTAATGTAAGATTTCTTGTGATGCACTGACAGTTCCAGTCTACAACAAACTCTCACCACTGAAATGCACCTAATTATATTACATAAAATGATGAAATCTGTTTTCACATCATTCATTACAACAGAAGTGTGGTCACTGTAATATAACATCATCACACTCATGTTTCTCTCCTCTGATAAAAAATATCTTAAGTTTATAATGAAATTCTCCTCTCTTTGTGAGTGCAATTGCTTGGCATTATTATTATGGTGCTTATTTATCATTGGTGTACCCTTAGCCCATTCCATTGACCTTATTTTTTGGCAACTGTATATACTGCATTTTGTAACATTAAACCTACATTAATCTGCTCAGTGGGAAAGGCTCCAATTCCCACCCGAGTAGTATACGCCTTCACCACACCATACACATCACCAACATGCTGGGGAGGAACACCAAGTCCAGTGCATACACCACCTACGGTGCAGTTCGATGAAGTCACGAAAGGATACGTGCCTGTCAGAAAAACACAACAGGATAACCCTGTTTCAGCAATGATAAGAAACAAAGACTGATTTTCCTTTATGACTTGTAAGGAAGTTTTCATCTGTATGCTTGGCTTTAAAGCTAAACTGAAACAGCAGCAAAAGAGCGGGGCAAAATCTTTTTACTACATGTCCCCATTTTGCTTTTAAGAGAACAAATTAAGCTGTTCTTCCCCAAACTGCTTCCTCCTGTAGTGAGTAACATGTATTTAGATTTCTAAAGCTCCACAGAAACCCCTCAAAATGAAGGATATTTTTCCACTGAAATAGCCGACATCCTGGCAATTTGTGTAAGTATATTATTAGTGAGCAAGAAGTTCACACAAACAAATAAAAAAAATATACTACTTTCTTATAGTTAAGGAGGTATCAAGTATGTGCTTCCTGTTCCAATGTGTAAGCTTTTCTGCATTCATCCTTTGCAGCTTTCACTGGGGATTGCCCACAAGGGAGAAATTAAAAAACATTGCAATGCTACTTCCATTAGGCACTGGATCTATAATAGGATGCTGCTGCTGTGTAAAGCTTTTTTCACTGTCCTGTGTATCAGAGAAAGTATTTCTGCTACATACTGAGAGCCTGGTGTAAAGGTCATAGTCTGACATTCCCAATGCTCTACACAAGTAGCTCTGAGTATCTACAGCAGTTTTTCTAAGTCTTAAGAGGTTATCCATGATCTCTACACTGACTCTGGATCGAAGAATCTCTCCAGTTCTTAATTTCATCTTCATGGAGACCTAAGTGGTTTATTTAGACTTTTGGTAAGACAGCAGAGCAGAGATCAACCGAAAAAGCTTGCCTGACAGGTTACCAGTTTAATCCTCCCTCCACCGTGGAGGAATTCTATCAGCAGCACTGCAATGAGTGCCTGGAATGTATGGCAATGTACACACACATTTAGAAGTCATAAAGACAAGAATATCTGGTGTGAAACTTCAACTCTACTGGAATAAACTTCAGTAAAAATCAGTATTTAAACCCTAAGCATGTAATCCTGTTAATGATACAGTCTCTGGCTTACTGTGCTTTACTTTTGGGAGATCTGTTCCTATTAATGGAAAGACTATTCTGTTTCTGTATTTTCCTGCTGTTTGCAAAGCTGATATAAATGCAAATCAAAATAAAATTAATCTCTTAGGAGTTAAATTCAGTTTAGAATTTAACTTACCAAAGTCAATATCAAGTAATGCTGCATTGGCTCCTTCAACAAGAATCTTCTTTGGGGAGCCATGAAGAGCTTCATACATAAAATACACACCATCTCGAACCATGGGTCTTATTTTTTCAGCATACCCCTGCAAATTTGAGTAGAAATGTCAACTTCCCCAGACAATGGCTGGAAGCAGGGAACACTGCGTTCACTTTTGAAACATGAAACATACAGATAACCCTAACACGTCAGCCTCAATAACCGTGCTTTACCTGAAAAATACAACCATAGCTTATATTCCATCGAGAACAAATCAATGTATTGAACCACTCACATAAGAAAACATGACTTGTTATCGTATTAGAATGCCATGATTTCTGTACCATTTCTATTCACAGAGATGTTGTACACCTACCTCATTTTATTGCCATAGTCTCTATACAGTGTGTCTATAGTCTAGACACACCGAGAGCGGGACTTAGAAACAGTGCAAGCTCCAAAAGAAAAAAAAAAAACAACACTACGAAAGGTAAGAGATTTTTTTAGCATCCTCTTTTCTTACATATTCATGAAAGAAGATGTTTTACTAGTGGCTCTTCTGTATTTATTTATAAAAAGACATTTTTCTTGTAACACCAGGATCTTGAAACACAGCTTCCACAAACAATTCTTCAATAAGCATGGAAGTCTCTCAGACAGACTAGATCAGTCATGGCTGGAGACTGCTAACTGCAAGTGTCACCCTGCGTTCTCTCGGCTGCTTTAATACAATGGTTATTTTAAGTCAAAAAAGTAAAATACTATAGGAGAATTAAATCATCAAAATTTATTTTAATGCCCATAATAAGAGAACATTCTATTATAAAGCATAGCTACTACTTATTAAAAAGTTTTATAAGAATGAAGAGATGCATTTTTCATTTAAAAGAATTCATTAGTTTAAAAAGTAGTAGTTCCGGTACGCTTTGTTTTTACTTTTTAAATGAAAATAAATATCACTGTTTTCTTCTATACTTTCCCTGAAATGGAATAAATATTAGAAGTGTCAAATCCTTACCTTTAGTTTTTTCAGTTGTCCTTCTACATCTATTTCCAATGTGGGAAACATTGACTTGTATTGTTGTGCCAGATTTTTAAATCTGTAAAACATTGAAATCGTATCTATGAAGAACACTCTGACTTATTGTTCGTAGAACCTTTGGCAAGAACCGAACTTATATTATACACAGTATATACTAGCGCTATAGGGAGAAAATAGCCAGAACTTCAATACCCCAACCAGTGCATTTCCCAATGTACAAAATTACGTTTTAAATGACAAGAAACTCTGTGAAGTACAGAAAACATACAGACATTCTTTCTAGTTTTCTTCTCCTTCTATACAATTTATATACAAAATTCAGACACATATTTAAAAACACCTCCTTAAAAGCAAATCTGTCAGTCAAAATATATCACTCTAACATAATATTTAGAAACGAAAATGGTCGTACCTTGAAGAAAATTCATCAAAGTCAGAAAGAAGGTCACAAATTCGAAGGCCTGTTCGTGCAGCTTTGGAAGAATATGTTGGTCCAATCCCCTTCTTTGTTGTGCCAATACTAATTAAAAAGAAATCCCCCCAACATGTATAAATATACGCAAAAATATGCTTTAGGATAAGTAGAATCATAGAAACATTTAGGTTGGAAAGGACCTTTGAGATCACTGAGTCCAACCGTAAACCTAGCATGGCCAAGTCCACCACTAAACCATGTCCCTAAGCACCACATGACAAGTAATTTTGTTAAAGTTCTTCAATATACCATATGCTGGGCAGATGATCTGAGACATAAGAACAGACTAAAGTTCTATAATAATAAATATATAGTAACTTCCTTGCTTCAGTGGATTTGCATTAAAATTGCCAATATTCATGGTATGCAGTAAAGCACTAAGCCTTGAGTCTGGCTGAGACAGGCTTAGTTAAAACTATGTGGGTATATACATACATTAAACAGTAATAATGGTTACTATACTATCCTGTGGTACTACTACATCCCTTACCACAAACAATAGGAAACAAATGCCATTTTCACATTTTCACACTTGCAGCACTGTCTAGAGTTGTAAACAACAACCAGTTCTGTGAGTGATCAAACTGGCTTCCTATGGCTTTGGCATTATTCATATAATCTCTGTCCCTATGAACTGTTGCAGCCTTTACCTTGATGAGGATAAAAATGAAACTCCTTCCCTAACCATATGCCTATTTTCACATGCATTTCAGAAATACAGTGATTTTGAGTATCTATTTGTATGTTAAGTTTGGCTGAAATTGTCCAATGGGATCAAAAACTAAAAGACTAACAGAGAGGAAAATACAGTGTGTTCACGTAAACCATTGTTCTTTCAGAAACCAGAATAATGAAGTATGAATAGTTACATACTGTGCTATAATGTAAGATTAAAATTAAAACAGAAACTAGTATTTCCATGAAGTATAAGTGAATATACAGTAAGTGGAACCTAATCGCACCAACACTTCAAACCCGATTCAAAAGAGCAGCACTATTTTGATAACAAAGTGGACAGGAAGCATCATTTTAACAGAAATTAGTTTTGAGGATTTGGTAGGAATTTCAAAATATCTCTGTATGTTGCAGAGAAAACAAAAATGGAAATATGTAAGAATTCATACCCTGCGTTTTCAGTGATACCTCAGAGCTTGTTCACTAACATAAGCAGGAGCAGAACAGAGTTGCAGAATTAGTAACATCAGCAAGGCTCTTTAGAGATACGTTGCATTTCTGTTTTCCAAAATTACATCAATTTTTCAAATTTGCATAATTATTAATGAAATGAAGATGCTGAAAATATTTACTTTTTTCCTTCTTGTGCTTGACGTTGCACTTCCTGAAGCCCATCTACAGCCTGGTGAAAGTCAAACACTGCAATGGAAAATCAAATAGACATAGTGGGAGACCAAAGGAGAAAACCATTCTTTAAATCACAGACATATGGAAAACATGTAAAACATCACTTTTTAGTGGATACAAAGTCCATTATTATGGTTCAGATACACAACACATAAAGAAGCCGTATTAGATCAAATACATGACTGCTCTGTGGAGTAATGATGTCGTTTAGTACCATGAACCAAACAATCATTTCTGAGTTTTTTCCCCCTTCAATCATCACTTACCGATATGTGCTCTATCTGATATAATCAGTCTTTTCTCCCAATCTTTTAAACCTGTCAGAAGATATAAAGAAAAGTAAAATTTCAGCTGCGTTCATTGGTCAAACTTCGAGATTTGCTTTTACTTTTTCTATGTCTTTCTTCTAGTTTATACAGCTTCTTATTAAGAAGACTGTAGACAAAATGGATAAACCATAAGTGAATATCAAATAGCAGCAATGCTTTAGTTAATAAACTTTTCTCATTTTTTATTTTTTCAACTTTCTTATTTTGCTATGGACAAAAATAATCACTACTTCTTCCTAATACCAAAACGCTGTGGCTTACACACAATTCTTATTTTAAGTAAAGATTCTTGTTCAACTCACTATACGATAAATCACTTAAAACTCAATTTGTGCCTCAGAAAATAGAGAATTTACATATATAGAATCATAAAACAATTTAAGATGTAAGGGACCTTAGAAGGTCACCTGGTCCAAAGCCTTGCTCAAAGCAGAACCAGCTGAGTTTATACTTGGGTACAGAAATGGGGATGCAGAAACTCTGACTTAAATCATCTCATTTTGAGGTCAAAGGGAGTTTTGCCACACACTTTAGGATTTTATTTTCTATCTAATGTGGTATCAAATACCATAAAACTCCCTGAAAACCCATGAAAAGATTGCTTTTGAAAATCTGTCTGGAGACAACAACACAATTCAACATTTTAAATACTGTTTTCCTCCTTATTCAAAATCCAGAATGTTATTGCACTGACTATTTATTGCCAGAAACAAAGGCTTAAAAACACCCTCAACCTGGCTGTGAATATAAAGAAAGGTTAAAAATTACTCGATACAAACCTTTCTTTTCATTCTTTTCAGCTTCTTCAAACAGGCCTGGTAAATGTATAACCACTCCATTACCTTTGGGAACATAAATGATTTATTTTAAAGCAAGAAATAAAATACTCATTCTTAGGATGCAAGGCATGTAAACACTTGCTGTTTCAAATTTTATTTAAAAAGTAAGACTAGTTTCTCACATTTCTCATAAAGTGACCTTGAGAACTTTTTGGATAAATCCTCATTTTGGCTAAGCAGCTACAAGCCTGCTAAAATCAGAAAAAACAGAGCTCGCTTGTTTCAGATGTGAATGCTGGGCCTGCTCCGAAGCCAGCAGTGGTAAGTGGATTCTTGTCTGACTTTGTGGTGGACTTTGAACCACGACTTCAGCCTCAGTTGCTTACTGGTAAAAGCTCAAAGAAGTCCGTGGCCTTACAACACCGACAAATCTGTGTGACAATATTTAAATTTTCTTCGATATTCACCTATTTGTTTTAAACTCAGCTCAAACTAGTGCTGTAATACATTAACAATGCCTTCTCCCTGCTTTTGAGGTACAGTATAGAATCCACTAGCAATACAGAGCATTACCGATGCGACATGGATTAGTGGTGTAGTGGGTTGGAAACAGTTGCTGCTTCCTTCTTGGGAACATCAGAAATATATGCAAGAGCCTGTCTCAGCCTAAATTTAGGATAACTTAAGTTATAGTCTTTACTAACTAACAAGGGAGTAAATCAGAAAGCAAGACAATACACCATATTTAGCAGAGAGAAAAAAAATACGTTTCACGTATTTCAATCATCCATTCAGAAATTATCAAATGGAACAAAACTGAAACTCCGTGACTCACTAAAACTTACACTTGTTTCTTGCACATTCTGTATCCATTTTTTCTGTCGGAAAGAATCATAATTTTGGACAAGTTAAAGCCTTAAATTTGCCTACCATTTAAATATGAATTTCGTGTCCAGTGAGCAATGTAAACTTTTTTATGATGCCATCTGCATTGAGTATCTTTACAGTGAAACACAACATCACCTTAAACAGCTGATAATGTGAACAAAAAGGAGACTGGATGATAACCTTCCAAGCAGAGCCCTGTATCTTGGCACCTATTTTTGGAAAGTCAGTAAAGAGATGCCAGAGGTAAATTATATTATTTATTTACCCTAAGTGCTGGGTTTTGTGTCCTCAAAGAATAGCATATATACTTCTGAAAGTACAAAAGGAGTGTGCAAGTAGAGGGTGGGATCCAAACTTGTCCCATAAAGTGTAAGAAAGAGTAACATGACAGAAAGAGGGGGTTATTACTTTCAGTTTTCTAGTAGCAGAAACTAAACTGACACTGAAAGTAGAATAATTCTTCATGTTAAAGCAGCAGTGAAATAAAAGTCAAACAGCTGAAGCTAAAGCAAAACTGACTGACAGTCACCTACATGTTTTTCTTTGCTTGCTACTATAAAATATGGTTCCAGCTACCCATCATATAATGTTATTTTATTTAGTAAGTTCCAAAATTGTCTTACCAATAAAAGAAATTGCCTTTGGATTAATGATGCCGCTAGGAAACAGGTGAAAATCATATTCTTTCCCATCGACAACCACAGTATGGCCTGCATTATTCCCACCCTGCAAAAGAAAGAAACATCTGAAGATTAATGGCTTATACTACCACTCTAAACTTTCATCAGATGATTTGACAAGATCATCTTTTTTTATTTATACATTCATGTCTTAGGTCACAGTTTCTTGAGATGTTGTAGCATTGTAAAAAGGGCTCAGACAGGACAATTAGGGGGCTGAAGGACTTCAGAACTGTGCAGAATTACAAAGCAGAATGATACCACGGTGTCAAGGCAGGACTGGGGCAGAGCAAGAGTAAATGCAAGAGTGGTGGCAGAAGCTAGAAGAGAACTGAAGCTTTCTGTGAACAAAACTGGATTGAACTACCACCCATTGAGTCCTGTCTCTGATGTGCCTACACAAGCCCATCCTCTCTGGGCATCTTCTGCACATGGTCATTTCTTTGGGTTTATGCCTACAACATCCAACATTTCTTTTTGAATGGAAGGTCTTAATGCCTGCCCATCCACAAACAGCTATTGCTTCTCTAGGTGTTCAAGATGGAAGGTCTGCATAAAGCTGGGAGCACATGTAGTCTTTGCAGCTTCACAGAATCTCCCTGTCAAGGGACGATCTTCCCAATTAATACCACCAACACTTTATGGAGTCTGCTACAATTCATACCTTACACAACTGTCTACCAGATCTGAGAATGGGAGTAGATATTTTCCTCAAGAAACTGATTTTTCGCAAACAGCTCTAAAAGAGAACAATGAGACAACACACAAACTTGGGAAGAGGTAAGTAAATCAAGGTCATGAGTTGATTTGTACAGAAACAATAAAGAGTTTTAAAAATTAAAGGTCCAGCTTTCTTGACAGGCTTAATGTTTGTTGCTGTTCTGTCATGATGTAACTTTTTATCCTATTGATAACATTGGGAAATCTGCCTACTTGTCTACTCTGGTTGCTACAGGCCTTGCATTTTCCAAAATGATTACAAATCCATTACAAAGTGGATTTGATATGAGGTCTGAATGACCTAGAAGTGTCTAGAATGAGGACATCTACTGTAAGGAGAACTGAGACTGTCACTGCTAATTCACAAATAATGAAGAGTGTTGGCTGAATGAATGGAGGTGTCATATGAAAACTCTGAGAAAGGACCGTCATTTCTAAAAATTAATAATACAACACATGTTCTTCCAGAGTTTCATTTACTCATTTGCCCATTTATTTGCATGTAATATACAGGAAAATGGCAACTGATACTCCTTTCAAAATGTGGACGTATGCTGAAACATAACATTAAGAAAATAAAAGCTACAGGTTATTAAAAAAAAATCAAGTTTTTTTAAGCTGTGGGATGGAAGAAAACATTAAGAAATATGCCTTTCAACATGACAAAAGCAATTCTCATGTTTTGGAAGACGTGAGTTCAACAGTGAAGTTTAAACAGATAAACCGCTAAGGGAGAGCTGAGTAGGAGTTGTAACAGAAAAAAATTTCATTTGATTTAGCAAACTGCTAGGTAGCTCATCCTTGGGCTGGGAAGAACTCCCAAGTGTCCTGATCATGCACAGTTATAACTTGTCTAGAGAATTCTGAACAAAGCAGAACTGTCCTGGATATTTATCTTGCCTCCCAGATATAATAAGCCACTTGTAGGAACCTGGATCTAGTTAAAGGTACTGAACTATCTAAGCAGGCTAATAAATCATGCAAGAGACTCCTTTACATGATATTTAAGAGGTCTGAAACTGGATGGATCACACTGGTTGAAACACTAGTTTATTTTATGATAGTAGTATCAGGCTTGAGAAAGAGGCTAATAACTTCTTCTGAGACAATCAGCTTTGCTTTTCTGCCTACAGACAATGGCAAGACGGAAAATTTAAAAGAATTAACTCCATCATTTAACACCAATTTAATCTCTACTACAAACAACAACTTTCATGTTTCCTTAGAAAATGGGGAATCAGGCTCTTTGAAAATATTTGTTGTCACTAACACTATAGTTATATTCTGCATGTCTTAATCAACATGAATACGAACAAATGAAATCAGGCTTGAGGATTCACAATCTGGAGGTAACAGCACTCCTAAATTATAGTCAGAAGTGTTTTCTTGTATCCTGAAATTTTAGAAGGTGGGATATACTAGTATGAAAGACAGTTTATGCTTTTGGAAATTTTCCTGAACAACTGATACCCAGACAAATGCTGTTTCTTTTTTAGCAAATGCTTAAAAAGGGACTTTAATCAATCAGCTGTGAAAGCCGGCATACATTAAAAAATGCTGAAGCACAGAAACATTAGCTGATATATCCTTCAATTGCCAAAAATCTCTGAATCCACTTTCAGTCCCTCTCGACAGATAACATAAATCAATAATTCAGTGACAAAACTTATAAAACTGCACTTCTCTAATTTAAAGCTAGTGTTGACAGCTCTGGAACTGGTTTTGTACAGTGCTCATGTTGGTCTGTGTTTCCTAAACAAGTGTCTTCTGAGTGTATTTTTACAGCTCAATAATTACATTTTTACAAATAGAATTAAAGTGGTAGCAGAGCATTGAATTGCCCCACAGACACAATCAAACTTGCAAAACATGCCGCTGGTCTGATGAGATACTTTCTGTTTATTATCTGGTCAGCGCATTAATTTCTCATGTTCAGTTTCATAGATATTCTAACAGTGTGTTGGCAGCCTAATAGATCAGATATTAAAGATGTATACTCCTTTTCTAATTTTATTTGAGTTCTGAGAGTCAATATAGGGTCTGTATGAGCCATTTCCTTTGCTAGTGAAGTATGAGGGGAACCTAAACACTTGTATGGGCTTAATCTGAAGATTACATGATTGAACATGCAGAGGACTACCTCGTACACTGCAACCATGTAAGTTCCCTTCTTTTCCTCAAATGTTATTTCATTAAAGTAGTGTCAACACTAACATACCTAGTGACAGTATCCTCTGGACCCTCAGGATGCTTCCACTTGGACCAAGAGACCTTTGGTGTCTCTGCTTGGCCCTTGCTTCAAATGCAGCTCTGCATAATGAGCTTCTATTTAACATCCAGACACAGCTCAAAGGATCTCTGCTGTGCACCACTGACCTCACCTGAATTTTATTTAACTTTCATCATTTGCACTTTCCTAGGTCTCTAGAGATCATATCCACCCTCTTTTGCAGTTCTTCAAAAACTTCTCTAACGAAGGGAATGTTAAGGCAACAACTTCTGACAGATTGATCACCAGTGCCACTTTGGTACCATCTGTATTGTGAAATGATGGTACGACTATAAATAACCATCAGCATTCCAAAATCTGGGAATCCTGGGCATTCCCATTAAACTACTCTGGTGTGGGAAGTTCTGTTCCCAAGAAAGAACCATTAGGGGAGCTGTTGAAGCTCCAAAAGGCTAAGAGTGCAACTGGGATGAGAGCAGTGTCTTGAACATTAGCATCCACTTGAACCTGAACTCTTCCTTATTGCTCCTGCAGCAATTCCAACATGTTCATTAGCATTTCTGTCCCTTCTGTTAAGCCACTTTCATCTCTAGTGACTTTAACTGTACCAAATACAGGAAACCTATGAAGTACAGGTGAGTGGGGCTATCGATTACAGAAAACTGCCACAATGAAGTTGGACTTGAGAACTAGAAAGTATTAAGTATGCCAAAGACAACAGGACAGATTATCTTACTATAGAATAAAAAGACCTAAATATCATTTAGGAAGCTTATCTTCAGAGAGGACATAAGAATCCTTCCTCTGAGGCACTGCCTAGATACAGCAATGTTTTTTGACTGTGCAGCCATGGCTGTTGTTCTTCCTATCAGCTACACTGAAGTTTCAAAGCAGATAAATGCTTGTTTCTAACAGTATTTGGTAGGGGCTAAAGTTCTTCACATTTAAATCAGGCACCTAACAAAAAATAACTTTCATTGAAATCATTCATAGTTGTATCGGGTTTGCGTGGCGAGGTTTTGGTAGTAGGGGGACTACAGGGGTGGCTTCTGTGAGAAGCTGCCAGAAGCTTCCCCCGTGGCCAATGGAGCCAACGCCAGCCAGCCCCAAG